TGGGCAAGACTCAAGGGACACAGGGGGAAAAAAAACTGAAATGGGTAAGAAATGAATGTGAATGAAAAATAGCTGGTTCGGGGCTGGAGCGATAGCACAGCGGGTAGGGCGTCTGCCAGGTTCGATTCCCAGCATCCCATATGGTCACCTGAGCACCACCAGGGGTAATTCCTGAGTGCAGAGCCAGGAGTAACCCCTGTGCATTGCTGGGTGTGACCCACGGTCACGGTCATGGTCACGGTCCTCCCGTTATTCATCGATTTGCTCGAGCAGGCCCAGTAACGTCTCCATTGTGACACTTGTTACTGTGTTCGGCATATTGAATATGTCATGGGTAGCTTGCCAGGCTCTGCTGTGCGGGCGAGATACTCTCGGTAGCTTGCCGGGCTCTCTGAGAGGGGCAGAGGAATTGAACTTGGCTCAGCCGGGCTGGCTGTGTGCAAGGCAAATGCCCTACCGCTGTGCTATCGCTCCAGCCTAGGGTGTGACCCAAAGAGGAAAAAAAAAATAGCTGGATGGGTCCAGAAACAACGGGTTGCCTAGAAGCTTAACCAATGGTAGGAGAAATTTTGAGACCGTTAATTCTGACAGGGAGCAGCAACAGTTTTATCTTTTTCTTTTTAATCACGGGAGATACTTGAGAGCATGCGTGTGTATGTGCTAAAATGAGATTATGAATAGAAAAGGAATGCCTTAAGGCTGGAGAGACAGCACAGCAGGGAGGCCTTAGACGTGGCCAAGCTGGGCTGCATCCCTAGACCACGTCCAGTCTCCAGAGCATCCCAGGTAGGATCTCTGAGCACAGTCAGGAGTAAGCACTGAGCACCGCTAGGTGTGGCCCCCACACCAAAAGGCCTCTAAACCCCGATTTCTTCTCTTTTCTAAAATGCATGTGGAGTTTCCAACATGAACAAGGAAGTCGTGCAGGGAAAGTACTTGAGGAAAGAGGCAACGTTTGAAATAGCTGCTGTCTATACCGATGAGTCGGATCTGCTCATCGAATTGGGGCCGGAAAGATGTAATAGTGCGTAGGGCATTTGCCTTGCACACAATGGAACAGGGTTCGATCCCCAGAACCCCATATGTTCCCTAAGCCTCGCCAGGAGTAATCACCGAGTGCAGACCCAGGAATAACCCCTGAGCACTGCTGGGTATAGTCCCCAAACAAAAACCGACAAAAAAAGAACGAAAAATGACATCTTTTTCAATTTATTTCAATTTATCTTGGCTTTCTAGATCTTCCATAATTTAACTTCCTCTTTAACTTTCCTCCGGTTTTGTTGTTGGGGCCACACCCGTGGTGCTGGGGGGCTCCTCCCAGCTCTGAGACGGGCTTGAACCCGGCCCTCCTTGCGAAACATGCAGCTTTTCACTCCATCTCTCCAGCCTTCCTCTGTTCTGCCTGTTTCGTTTTGGGGTCACACCTGGCAGTGCTCAGGGATGACTCCTGGCTCAGTGCTCAGGGATCATTCCTGGTGGGCCACACGTACCCATCTTGTGGGTCACATGTGCACATCTTACCCACCGTAGTAGTATTGCTCCAGCCCCTCCTCTGCCCTCATTCTTACTATTTTGGTTTGGTTTTGTTTTTTGGTGTCACACCTGAGGTGCTCAGAGGCTATTCCTGGCTCTGTGCTCAGGAGTGACCTCTGACTGTTTGTATATGTGGTACAGGGGACTCAGACCTGGGTCAGCCGCATGCAAAACAAACGCCCTGTCTCATGTTCTATCTGTCCAGAAGCTCTCCTCTGTTTTTTTTTTTCTCTCTCTCTCTTTTTTAATTTAGATTACACCCGATGAAGCTCAGGGTCGAGTCTGCACTCAGGAATCACTCCTGGACGGGCGGGCGTGGGGGGAACAGACCATATGGGATGCTGAGGTTGGAACCCAGTCATATACAGGTGAGTTTACCTGTTGGATGTCTGTACGCTCTCTCCCATCTATCTTTCTCACATTTTGACCCCCTCACAACAGTTGCTGCCCATTCCCGAATCCATGCTCAGGGTAGCTTTCACTTAAGCCGGACTGCTCTTTGCAACATTGTGTCTTTTCTTTTGTACCAACTCCCACTCAAATTCTTCTGACTTCCAAGATAAAATGTATCCAATGTATTTTGTTCCTTTTTGGGTCAGACCCTGCAACACTCACAGGCTACTCCTGGCTCTGCACTCAGAAATTACTCCTGACTGTGTGTTTGTGGGGGGGAGGGGGGCACACACCACAACAACATGGGATGCTGGGGATCGAACCCGGGTTGGCCGCATGCAAGGCAAACATCCTCGCCACTGTACTATCGCTCCTGCCCCCCCCCCATGTATTTTCTTAGTCATCATGAATATTTATTGTATTTTCTTTCATTTAGGAATGATCATTCAATGTAACTTTTGTACTTTATTTTTGCAGGGAAGACTCTAGAGGTGGTGTCCAGGGCTTACTCCTAGCTCTGCATTCCGAGATCACTTCTGGGGGGCTTGGGGGACCAAATGATGTTCTGGAGATCAAAGCCAGGTTGACTGATTGCAAGGAAAGCCCTACCTGCTGTACTAGCTCTGGCTCTCGGTTGTTGTTTTTGAGACTTGGTATTCCTTTGAATTTATAATAGTCCTTTGAAATTATTTGGTACTTGTCTTTGTTTTGGTTTTGGGGTGCATTGGGGGACCGTACCCAGTGGTTCGCTGGGTCTACTCCTGGCTCTGTGCTATTAGTGGGCCTGAGGGACCATATAGAGTGCAGGGGATCAAACCCAGGTCAGCCACGTGCAAAGCAAGGGGCTGACCTCCCCACTGTCTTATCACTCCAGCTAACCAGATGGTTCATATTTATAACAATCAGAACTATATGCCACTGTGGATTGTATCTGAGCGCTTAATCTATCCTGGACCAAATTGAAATTCCAGATTGAATTGGATTCTAAAACATAAAAGAATTATAATCAGAATTCATGTTCATTAATCTATTCAATGGGTAATTATTGGAGCATTGAAACTCTGTGCTAAACGGGAGTTTTTTGTCTTTATTTTTAAAATCACTATCACCTCTGTATTTGGAGGTATCTTTTTCACAAAACTTCTTTGTAACATCGAAAAGCAAACGAGCCTGGCCAGAGACATAGCACAGTGGGCCGGCTGCTTGTCTTAGGATGCTGTCAACCCTTCCTGGCACAGCAGATGGTCCCTCTGAACTGGCCAGGAATGATCCCTGAGTAACAGGGAGTAAGCCCTGAGCACTTCATGTGTGACCCCCAAACCAAAAAACAAATACATATGAAAAAATTAAGCAACACCAATTGACCATTGTGTTGCCTTGGTTGTTTGTTTGGGGGGCCACACCCTGTGATGCTTGGGGCTTATTCCTGGTTCTGGTCAGGGTACCTATAGCAGGGATCAGTGAAGGATTGTTTCACTATCCACCTCTGAGGCTGTGTGTGTGTGTGTGTGTGTGTGTGTGTGTGTGTGCATGTGTGTGCGCACATACACGGTTCTGTCTCACAGCTTTTTGCTGTGAGGCTTAGCTCAGCGGGTGAGATTCCCCATCCTGACCTCAGTCCAGTAAGTCTGGCCAGAAGGAGCAAACCCTGCCCCACTTCCCTCTAGCCCAGGAGCGGGGAGGCGCCCACTCAGATTAAACTATCAGAGAATGCCAGTGTCTCCGGGCCACCCACCACGGCAGGAATTCTGAGAACTTTCGTGCCCGCCCCCACGCGGGGAAGACTCAAAGCAAACAGCAGCAAGGTGTGGGTCCATCCAGCCTGAGGCCTCATTCTTCCTCCCCCATACTCCGGGTCACAGGGTCTTTCCGGAGGTGGGGATGGAAAAGGGGCATTTTTGTTGTCTGCCTGCCGCCCCCCCACCCCGTTGAGCTATACCCCTCCCTCACCACCACCACCACCACCACCGTGCTCAGGGCTTACTTCTAGTTCTGAGCTCAGGGATCACTCCTGGAGAGGTGGACGGCACTTGCCCTGCCCGCACGGGTCCCATAGCAGCTTTGCTATCTGGAGGGAATGCCCAGGACCTGGTGAAAGAACTGGGGTGTCTGGGGCTGGAGCGATAGCACGCGGGTAGGGCGTTTGCCTTGCACGCGGCCGACCCGGGATAGATTCCCAGCATCCCTTAGGGTCCCCTGAGCACCGCCAGGAGTGGTTCCCCAGTGCAGAGCCAGGAGTAATCCCTGAGCATCACCAGGTGTGACCCAAAAAGCAAAAAAGAAAAAAAAAGAAAAAAGAAATGGGGTGTCTGCGGGTCCCAGGCGTGGGATGGGGCCAGGGAGCACTTCTGAGCCAGTCTGCCTCTCTACCTCTCCCTTGGCTTCCCCCCACCCCCCACCTGTCCTTTTCCCTCGACCCACAGCCCGACCAGCCTCCCAGGCTCCCGGCTCCTCCGTGCAGCCCCAGCCCAAGCCCGGACAGCAGGGCAGGACGGGGAGGAGCCGGCTCTGCATCTGCCTCCCCTCCCCAGGCCCCAGGCCCCAGGCCCGGCTGCGTGCTAGGCCCTCCCGAGCCGGGGTCAGAACACACCAACCGACACACCTGGGGAGAGAGGGAGGGCAGAGATTAGGCGAGGAGGAAGGAGGACCGAGGGTGGCGGCCGAGCGGGGGAGAGGCCGGGACTCCCCCGGGAGCGGCGCGGCCGGGGCTGGAGGGGAGAGCGGGCGGGTCGCGCCGGCTGACTGCCAGCCCAGCGCGGGCTCCCGGGCTCCCCGTCCGTCTCCCCCGCGGCTTCTCCCCCATCCTTTCTTCGGCGGGCTCTCCGGGGGGCTCCCGTGCTGGAACGTGCACGCTCCGCTCCGTCCGGGTCTCGGCGACCGCGCGCGGCTCTCGGCGTCCCGTGCCCGCGTCGCTCTCCGGCTCGCCCGCCCCGCCGGGCCCCCGGTCGGAGATGCTCTCGGGGCCCCGCCCCCGCGGCACCCTATTGGCGAAGAGGCGTCCGGGGGCGTGGCCTGGCCGGCTCCCGCGCGTCGGATTGGGCGCGGCGGGCCGGGGGCGGGCCGGGGGCGGGCCGGCGGGCGGCGGGCGGGGTGGCCGAGGCCCGGCCCCGAGCTCCGGGCGGTCGCATTGTTTTCCTCCGAGGAGGCGCGGCGCGAGTGGGGGATGCGACCCGGACTCCCGCCTCGCCCACCGCCGCCGCGACCTGGCGCCCCGACCCCCGCGCCGGCCGGTCCCGACGCCCCTCGCGTCTGCTCGGAACCTCCGCCACGGAGCGCGAGTCCGGCGCGGTGCGGGGCCGCTGCCCGCGCGCTGCGCGCTCCGGCCCGCTGACCCGGATCTCGGAGCAAGTAGCGGGAGCCGGGACGGGGCTGCGGGCGGCGCGGGGCGGGGGGCGCGCGGGGGGCGCCGGAGTTGGGGCGCGCCGGGAGGAGGGGCCGGCGGCCGTGCCCGTCACTGCGCCAGGGGCGCCGCCTCCCCGCGGGCTCCGGGGCGCGAGGACGGGGATCCGGGGTGCCGCGTGCCGAGAGCGCACAGCGGGCGGGGAAACTGAGGCTGCGCTCGCCGCGGGGCCGCGGGCTCGCGGCGCCCCTGCAGGGCTGCGGGGGGCCGCGGCGTCCTGGATGTGGGCGTCTCGGCGGCGCCCCTGTCCTTGAGCCCGCGGCGTCCGAGCACCTCGCGGGGCGGCCCGGGACCCGGGGGTCCCCCCGCGGGCAGCCCCGCGCCCGCTCTCCGGGGCGGTGCGGGACGCGGTCTCGACGGCGGGGACCACGCAGGGCCGGGCTGGAGCCGCCCGTGCCGCCGCCGGCCCGCGCGCGTCCTCCCCGGGGCCGGAGACCCGCCTCCGCGCCCAGCCCCCCGCGCTCGCCGCCCGCGCCCGCAGGCCCCTCCGGCCCCTCCTCCCGCTAACGTGGCTGTGGGACCCGGGCCCGGCCCGGACTCCGCCGCCCGCCCCTGGCCGGATCCAGTGAGGGGGAGACACGTCGAGCCCCTGGCCCCGCGCCACGGCGCGCGGGACTCGCGACACCCGGACGCCCGCCCGCCCGCCCGCCCGGGGTCGGCGTGGGGGAGGGGGTCGCGCCTGCTCCGCGGGGCTCGCGCCCGCCCCCCCGGAGCCGGGGACCGGCCTTCCTGCTATTGTCCCCCGGCCGGGCTCCCCCGCTCCCTCCGTGCCCAGGCCCCGCGGGCTCCGCCGGGGACAGAGCCGCGCCCGGGCGCGCTGATGCAGGCGCGGGAGAGCGGGGGTCGCCTCTCTCCAGCCGGGGCACCCCGAGGGCACCGGAGCGGAGCGGGCCGGAGGGCTGGGGCTGCTGGGTCCCTCCGGGGCGCGGCACCCTTGGCCCGGGCTCGGGTGCGAGGGGGCCGCCCCTCCGCCGCTCCCCCGAGCTGCCCGGGCCGGAGTTGGGTCCAGGGTGTTTCCGAGGCGGAGCCCCGAGCGGGGCGGGGCGGGGCCGGGCCGGGCCTGCGGGGACCGGGCCGGTACCCGGTGCTGCCACCCCGCTCGCGCGCGAAACGGAGAGCATGTAAATGAGATGCAAATGAGCCTCTATTGTCCCCGGAGCTGCGGGATTCGGGGGTGCCACCCCGGGGTGCTCTGCGCCCCCCAACTGCCCTGGCCGCGCGCGGGCTCGAGCATCCGAGCAGGGCCCGGCCCAGCCTGCAGGCTCACGGCGTTGGGCGCCCCAAGGTACCACGCTGGTACCTTGGTAACCAGCTCGGGGTCACCCCGGCTGCCTCCCGTGACCCCCCCGCCCGCTGCTCCCCTGGACCCGGCCCCACTTTCCCGACTTGGCGCCTGTACTTGTGAGGGCAGTGGCAGGGCGGTGTCACCCCGCTGCTTTCCTCTCCAGCACCTTCCTCCATCAGGTCCCCGGGTCGGTCGTGGGTCCCTCCAGGGTCGTCACCCCGGGAACCGCCCGGTGGGTGCAGCAGACAGGGCTCCGGAGCACCCAGAGGGTCTCAGTGCTCTTCCCCTTGCCAAAGACCGGAGCGGTTTCCTGGGTGAAGAAAGAAGTTGCCCTGGGCAACTTGGTGGGGGCAGGTGGAGGGGGCGCCGGCGTGTCCCTTCTGCCTCTCCAGGGACTCCCAGCATCCTGGAGGGGGCAGGGAGGAAGCCTCTGCCCCTGGGGACGGGTCATCATTAGGTGTTCCTACCCTTTTCCCTTCTCCACCTGCTTCTCTGGGGACCCTGTCTGACGTCAGCCTCCCCACCACTGACGCTGGATGGGGGTGGGGTGCACTTGGGCCCAGGTTCTCTGTGTGTGACACATTGGGGAGATAAGCCTGCATGCGTGGGGTCTCTCCTGGGGACAGCGTGTGGGGGCTGCGGGCGGGATTCTCACGGTCCCTGACCTGGTTTCCCTCTCTCGCAGGAGTGGGGCCCCACTGCTGTGCCAGCGGCAAGCTGGAGGCTGGTGGCCACTGTGCCCCGCTCTGTCCCCGCCACCGGCTCCATCTTTTCCGGGACTTTGGGCTACGGTGGCTTGCCTGGCTTTGGGTTATTAATCTCTGCTGTTTCGAGGCAGCCCCGAGAGCGCTGGGTTGGGCCATTGCTCCCCGACGCGCAGCCCCTGCCTGTCTGCGGCCCTCCGAGGCGGGATGGAGTCCCAGTCACCTCCCGGCCTGCGCTGGGCTGAGGCCTGGGGGGGAACAGAGGCTCCAGAGGCTGGGAGGGGGCACAGTGGTCGGGCAGACAGCTGCAACCAGAGCTAAATTTAGTCTCTGCTCTGGCTTTGATGCCGTTTTGTTTTTGGCTAAGATAGTCCGCTCCCCCAAACCCCACAAACACCTCACTACTCCCTGGCAAGTAAAAGGTGGGGACCCCTGGGCTGTCCCCACACACCCCGTTCCTTCCCCGCCCTGAGAGTCCACGGTGGCCTTGCAGCTGCCTGGGGCTGGGCATGGTGCCTGCAGGCTGCCGGGGGTCTGTGCGGGAGGGTGGCACCGTGGTGCCCTCTTCCTCCTCCGGTGCCAAGGAGTCACTATTTATAATTTTAAGGCTTCAGCATCTAATTATAGCTGAGAAGGGGTTCACAAGAGGGGGGCCGAGAGGTGTCACCTAGCCAGTGGCAGGAGAGGAGACTGGGGAGAGGCGGGGAGAGGGCCGGGTGGGGTCCTGTCCTCACCTGGGGTCAGGCGGTGGCCACGGGAGCCAGCGCAGGCCAGTTGGAGCAGGAAGGGCCTGAGTGATGTGACAGCTGGCCGGGACCCGCTGTGCCAGAAAGAGATTCTGGTCGCCAGCCCCCGGTGTCTTCCGGGGATAGGACGGGAGGAGCCTGGCCGCACTGGGGTGGACGGGCCCCCTCACCCTCTTTTCTGTCTCCTCTTTCAGGGCCAGCATATGGGTGAGGGGGCACCCCCGGGGGCCTGAGCCGCCCCTACAGGATGCCCCGTGCCTCCTGCTTCCTGCCCTTGCTACTGCTGCTGTTCTCACTGCCGCATCCCCAGGCTGCATTTCCCCAGGACCCCCTTCCGCTGCTGACCTCTGACCTGCAAGGTGAGTGGCCACCTGCACCCCTGGGTACTGTACCCCCTGCCCAAGGCCTGAGCTCGGCAACTGGACCGCGAGGTCCTGTGGGGAAGTGAGGTGCAGAGCACTTGATCTGAAGAGAACTGGAAGTGCGGGTCAGAGCCAGAGCACAGCTGGGAGTGTGTTTGCCTTGCACTCAGCCGATCTGGGTTTGATCCCCGCCACCACCCCGTAGAGTCCCCTGAGCCTGCTAGGAATGATCCCTGGTTGCAGAACCATGACTGAGTCCTGAGCATCATGGCAGGTGTGACCAAAAACATTTTTTTAGAAAGGCTGAATGTCGGGGCTGGAGAGATAGCACAGCGGGGAGGGCGTTTGTCTTGCACGCGGCCGACCCGGGTTCGATTCCCAGCATCCCATATGGTCCCCTGAGCACCGCCAGGAGTCATTCCTGAGTGCATGAGCCAGGAGTAACTCCTGTGCATCGCCAGGTGTGACCTGAAAAGCAAAAATAAATAAATAAATAAATAAATAAAAAGGCTGAATGTGACCCAAGCACCTCTGGGTGAATCCCCTGGAGGCCCCTTCTGGCCTGAGTCTGACCAGCGACTGACAGAACTCCCTGTCCTTGGTAAGTGGGTATCACCAAGAATGAGCCCTGGGACCCCTGAACTGGGTTTGGTAGACGGTCTCCCCAAGAAACCCCTGAGAGGGGCCGGAGATGGCATTTGCCTTGCATGTAGCTGACCCGGGTTCGATCCTTGGCACTGCATATGGTTCCCCGGCCCCGCCAGGAGTGATCCCTGAGTGCAGAACCCAGGAGTAAGCCTTGAGCACCACTGGGTATGGCCCCAAAGCCAAAATAAATTAAAAAAAAAAACCACCTGAAATCACAAGCACAAAGGGGCACAGGAGGGGGGGGCTGAGCAGGTGAGCAGCAGGCGAGGGGTTGTGCTCAGGGCGGCCTTTCACACCCAGGCAGCCAAGAACATGAACTTGGAGCCTACACGGCCATGCCTCAGTCTTTCTGCTGTCCTGAAAAATGAAGATGAGAGGGCTGGAGCGATAGTACAGCGGGAAGGCCACATGCCTTGCCTGCGGCCGAGCCAGGTTCGATTCCCAATACCCATATGGTCCCCTGAGCACCACCAGGAGTAATTCCTGAGTGCAGAGCCAGGAGTGACCCCTGGCAATCACTGGGTGTGATCCAAAAAGCAAAAATAAAATAAAATGGAATTGTCTTCTACCATACAGCCTGGGATGGATGAAGCAGAAACAGGTCCCCCTGCACGGCCGAGTCTGCTGGCCGCCTCGTGTGTGTCTGCTCTCATCATCAGCACTGAGAAGCTCCGACTGAGCTCAGTGGCGCCTGGAGACCGGGAGCCACACCTCACAGTGCTCAGTGCTTACTCCTGGCTCTGCGGAGTTGCTCTTGGCAGTGTCAGGGGACCTGACATATGGGGTACGGGAGATTGAGCGAGGGTACGCCAAGCCAAAGGCAGGCACCCTCCCCGCTGTACCACCGCTCTGACTCCTCGATTTAGTTTAGAGTTACTTTATTTGTGGACTGCAGAGAAGGGTTCAGGTGCTTATTTGGCCAACCCTGGTTCAATCCGGTATGGTCCCCTGAGCACAGAGTCAGGAGTAGGTGGCCACCAAAGTATGTCTGACTGTGGCTCCGACTGCCCCCAGAATAGAGAGAATTTTTAGTTCCTTTTTGTTGAGTTGTAGAGCAATTCCTTTAGGTGCTTGGCTTGGCCCAAAGGTTCCCAAACTGTCAGAAAAAAAAAATCACTAATGTCTCCCCCACCCGAAATCCATCCCTCCTTCCTTTGGCCTGTCTTCCTTCCCTCCCTCCCTCCCTCCGTCACACCCAGCGGTCCCGGTGGAACATGGAGGAACATACAATGCTGGGGATCAAACCTGGACTTCCTCCTGCTTGGTCCTTGGCCAGCTCCCTTCTTTCTTTAAGTGTGCAGAAATCACCCCTCAGTTGCACCCAAGGCTACCGGCGCCCTCCCCCATCGCCCCCTCCCCCACAGCGGGGACACAGTGTTGAACACTTTGGGAAACATTGTCTAGCTCTTATTTTTTCCTTCCAGATTTTGGTTCACACCCAGCAGTGCTCAGGCTTACTCCTGGCTCTGTGCTCGGGGATTACTCCTGGCAGGGCTCAGGGGATCATACCGGGCATCAGGGATTAAACCTGGGTCTGTTTGCTGTGTGTCAGGCCAGCGCCCTCCCTGCCCCTGGCCTAGCTCCTTGAGTGGCCCCAGCCCTAGGGTTATTTTGAGGAAGGAACTGCAGGTGGGGCCTAGAGGTGACTGTTGGGGGTAGTGAGAGAGCAAACACTTCCGGTCCTGAGGGGGCAACCCCCACCCCCGCCCCCGTCCCTCCTGATACCCTTATGGGCCCAGTCCTGGGAGCTGTGGCTGGAACCTGGGCAGGCCCAAGTATCCTGGGAAGAGCCTTTGGGGGGAATAGGTGACGAGAGGGCTGGACAAAGGGGGGTGACTGAGACAGCGTAGAATGCGGGAGCCCAAGGGCGTGTCTTGGCAGAAGGGATGGGCCTCAGCTCAGGGCCCTCACAGACCTGGGCCTGAATCTGGGTGCATGTGACTCTTCGTGGTGCTCAGTGGGCCAGGGTCTCAAGTCTCAGTCCTGGGGTCTATAGCATGGGGTCAGTTTTCGTACTTAGCCTGCTCAAAAAAGATGCATTATCTCAGGGTTCAGAGTGAAAATTTCTTTTCTTTTTGTTTCTTTTCTTTTTTCTTTTCTTTCCCTTTGGTCTTTTTGGGTCACACCCAATGATGCTCACCCAATCCCTGGCTGTACACTCTGGGATTACTCCTGGCAGTGCCCGGGGAACCGTCTGGGGTGCCGGGGATAGACAGAACCTGGGCCGGCTGCGTGCAAGCCCTTCCTGCTGTACTATCGCTCGCTCCGGCCTCTGGTTCCTTCCTCCTGAGTCTCTTCACGCCTTCCAGTTCAGCTCCAGCCGCAGTGGCCAGGCCACATTTCAGGTGCTCGGAGCTGGCCTGGAGGGAGCAGGTGGTCTCCCGGCGGCCCCCAGCACCCACCACCCCCTGTCCCCTCCAGGAACCTCGCCCTTAGCCTGGTTCCGGGGCTTGGAGGAGGATGATGTGGTCGCAGATCTTGGGCTGGACTTCCAGAGATTCCTGACCTTGAACCGGACCCTGCTGGTGGCTGCCCGGTAACTGGCCGTGGCACAGCTGTAGGGCTTTCATGCATGTTCCCGCATGGCCGCTGCCGTCCCTAGCAGGCGCCCCGTGAGGGTGGAGACGCCGAGGGCCGTGGATGTGCTCGGAGCCTGAGCACAAGTGAAAGGCGTGGGGGAGGGGAGGGGGGCCCCCAGGGGGCCACCGTTTGTCCCAAGCAGTTGCACAGGGGCCAGCCTGCCCGGGCTCTCTCTCATCCTCCCTCACCCCTCCCCAGGGACCATGTTTTCTCCTTCGATCTTCAGGCCCAAGAAGGGGAGGGGCTGGTGCCCAGCAAGGTGAGGCGCTGCAGGAGGAGGAGGGGGTGCGGGCGCAGGGGGAGGCGGGGGAGGGCCAGGCGAGGGGAGGTGAGGCGGGGCTGGGGGCGTTGATTTTCCCTCTTCTGCTTGCTTCTCCCCCAGTATCTGACGTGGCGGAGCCAGGATGTGGAGAACTGTGCCGTCCGGGGGAAGCTGACGGTGAGAGCCAGAGACTCACCCCCTCCAGATGTGGCCCCCCCAGGACCCCCACTTTCCCCAGTTTCCAGCCACAGAGGAAAAGGAACTAAAGATCTTCAGCTTCCTCAGCGCTGGAGTGATAGCACAGTGGGGAGGGTGTTTGCCTTGCATGCGGCTGACCTGGGTTCAATCCCCCGCATCCCATTTGGTTCTTGAAGAGGCCCAAGAACTTGCCTGAGGCTCTGGGCTGCCTGAGGAGAGTTTAGTCAGGACTCTGCAGCCTAGCCCTGATTGACTTGGTGGGAGGGTAGACCGCCCACCTTAGGCCAGACCCCCCCAACCCTCTCCCGCCCCCCACCTGGGATCTTGCATCCTCTAGGATGAGTGCTACAACTACATCCGGGTCCTTGTTCCCTGGAACTCTCGCACACTCCTGGCCTGCGGCACCAACTCCTTCAGCCCTGTGTGCCGCAGCTACGGGGTACGGCTTGGGGTGAGGGTGGCAGGGAGGAGGGGCTGATGCAGTGGGCGGGAACAGTCTCCAGGGCGCCGGCGGCATGGGTGGGAGGCAGAGGGACACGAGGACCACGAAGTTCCCTCTGCCCCCAGATCACGTCTCTGCAGCAGGAGGGCGAGGAGCTGAGTGGCCAGGCCCGGTGCCCCTTCGATGCCACCCAGTCCAATGTGGCTGTCTTTGCCGGTGAGCACGTGGGCATGTGGGAGGACGCCCTCACACCTCCCTCCCGGCCTTTCCCCACATCGCCTGTCCTGGGGAGGCCCTGGGGGTGCCGGCAGCGCTCGGGGCCAGGTTCCGGGGTCCTCCCTGATTGTGCCTCCCCCCCTGCAGAGGGCAGCCTCTACTCAGCCACGGCGGCCGATTTCCAGGCCAGCGACGCGGTGGTGTACAGAAGCCTTGGGCCTCAGCCGCCTCTCCGCTCCGCCAAGTACGACTCCAAGTGGCTCCGAGGTCAGGGCGGCCCAGGGTCTCAGGCAGTTGTGGGGGGGGCGTGACTGGTGGGCGCTGGGGGTGGTGAAGGCAGGGCAGGGCCAGACGCTCGCCTGTGCTCTCCCCTGCCAGAGCCTCACTTTGTCCACGCCTTGGAGCACGGAGACCATGTGTACTTCTTCTTCCGAGAGGTGTCTGTGGAGGACGCCCGGCTGGGGCGGGTAAGGCGTGGGCACAGGGGCGCTGGGTGCTGTGTGTGTGAGCCTGCGTGTGCGTGAATGTGTGTGTGTGTGCGTTGCGCATGTGACTGTGTGCTGGAGCCTTTAGTGTGTGCGCGCTGGATTTTTTCGTGTCTTTGTGTAAGCATGAGTGTGTGCTGGATCCGTGTGTGCACACTTCTGTGTGTGTGCGTGATCCTGTGTGTATGTACATGTCTGTGCACGTGAGTGTGAGTCTGTGTGCACGCGTGCATGAGTGTGTGCTGGATCATGTGGAACCAGAGTCAAGATCTCTGTCCACAGCCCCCACCTTGGGGTCCCCCCAGCCCTGCTCTCGCGGACCCCCGGCCCGCCCTTCCCTGCGTGGGCCGTCGTCTGCCTGCCGCTGCTCCAGGGCCCGGCCCTCACTACCCCCCCGCAGGTGCAGTTCTCCCGGGTGGCTCGTGTCTGCAAGCGCGACATGGGCGGCTCCCCTCGGGCCCTGGACCGCCACTGGACATCCTTCCTGAAGCTTCGGCTCAACTGCTCGGTCCCTGGGGACTCCACCTTCTATTTCGACGTTCTACAGGCCTTGACGGGGCCTGGGAACTTGCATGGCCACCCTGCCTTCTTTGGGGTCTTCACCACGCAGACCAATAGGTAGGTGCCGGGCTGACCAGTGCCACCTGTCCAACGTCCCTGCCCGGTCTGGCCCTGTGGCAAGGCAGGGTGGGAAGCGCCTCTGTGGCCCGTGTGCTGTCCTGCTGGCCTTGTCCCCCCCAGCATGGCACCCCAGCCCAGTGCACCCTGGTCTCCCGGGTTGCCCTGCTCCCGGACTCCCCCTCCCACACACGTCGCCCGTCAGCTCCCACACCCGGCCCTCCACACCTTGCCCACCTTCTTTTCTGGCTCCCTCAGCATCCCCGGCTCCGCTGTCTGCGCCTTTTACCTGGCTGATGTTGAACGTGGGTTTGAGGGCCGGTTCAAGGAGCAAAGGAGCGTGGATGGGGCCTGGACTACCGTGTCTGAAGACAGGGTCCCCTCCCCCAGGTACCCTGGCACGGTGGCGTTTGTGGGGGCAGAAGCAAGCGTCATCTGCTCCCCGAGGGGATTCTGTTGTGAGGTCAGGGGGATGGTGTGTCTGCTGGGGGCTGCGGCCCCATCAAGGCCCTGACGCTCTTCTGGTGTGCCCTAGGCCTGGCTCCTGTGCAGGGCTTGGCCGGGCGGCCTCGTTCTCTTCTTCCCGAGACCTCCCTGATGACGTCCTGACTTTCATCAAGGCCCACCCGCTGCTAGACCCTGCCGTGCCCCCTGCCACCCAACAGCCTCTGCTGACTCTTACCAGCAGGTATGGCCGGAGCGCCAGGATCTGTCCGTGGCCCGGCATGGTCCCTGGAGTACCACTGGAGTGACTCCTGAGCACAGAGCCAGGAGTAGCCCAAATACCACAGGGTATGGCCCAGGAACCGAACCCGCAAACAGAAGGTTCATGGGCCAGAGGCTGGAAGAATAGGACAGTGGGGAGGGCACTTGGCTTGTATGTGGCCGACTTGGGTTTGATCCCTGGCGCCCCACGGTCCCCCGAGCAATGCCAGGAATAATTCCCGAGTGCAGAGCCAGGAGTGAGCCCTGATCATTGCTGGCTGTGGCCCCCAGACCACAAAAAACAACCAACAAACGCAGCATAGGCCAGAGCTGGTACAGGAGTTAATGTGCTTGCCTTGCATGTGGCCAACCTCAGTTTCCTCATAGGCAGGCCACAGAGTTCCCTGAGCATTGCCAGGGCGACCACTGAACACAGAGCCAGGAGTAAGCCAGGAGCACAGCCCGGGGGCGCAGCCTCCCCGCCCCACAGAAGCTTAACCCCTACCCCCCATAGCTGCGCTCCGCCACCCTGCTGGGCGTGGAAGGGAGGGCTCGGAGGCACCGGGACACGGGCGCGCCATAAACTCTCGTGCTCTCCCCAGGGCTGTGGCCCTGACCTCAGGCCTGTTCCTCGCAGGGCCCTGCTGACCCAGGTGGCTGTGGATGGCACTGCAGGGCCCTATGGGAACACCACGGTCCTGTTCCTTGGCTCCAACGACGGGACGGTGCTGAAGGTGCTGCCTCCTGGGGGCCCCCAGGGGAGACACCAGCCAGTCCTGCTGGAAGAGATCAACGCCTACAGCCCCTCCCGGTGAGACTTTGCGGGGGGCCTTCCCGAGGTGCCTGGAGGGCTGCACCTGGGGCTTGGTGAGATGCTGCCCCGTTTGGACTCAGTGTCCCCGGCCCAAGAAAACAGGAGCCCTGTCGGGGCCTGATTCCTCTTGGCCTGCCCCTAGGTGCGGTGGCAAGAGAGCTGCCCAGCTAGCACGGCGGGTCATAGGGCTGGAGCTGGACACGGAGGGTCACAGGCTCTTCGTGGCCTTCTCGGGCTGCATCATCTACCTACCACTCAGCCGCTGTTCCCAGCACGGGGCCTGCAGGAGGTAAGCGGGGCGGGAACTGGCAGCCGCGGGAATGGCAGGGTGGCCCGGCTGGCTCACCCCTTCTGCAGGTGGGAGGAGGAGGCAGGGCCTGGGACTGAGATGCCGGGGAGCCGCCTGGGAATGTTGGGCGAGGCGGCCCCCAGGGAGGATCCCAGCCTGGCGACTCTCCCCCAGGAGCTGCCTGGCTTCTCAGGACCCCTACTGCGCGTGGCAGAGCGCCCACGGCTGCGTGGACATCAGGGGGCCTGCTGGGTAAGTGAGCCCCCCTGCTGGACCTCACGGGGAGAGGGGGTGTAGAACTCTTCTGAGCCCCCCTTTCCTCGCAGAACCCAGGCGGCTCTAGCCGGGAGCCAGGAACCCGTGGAGCTTGGGGACTGTCAAGGTAAACAGAAGGGGGGCTGAGGCGACCCCGGCAGCTGCTGGCTCATACTTCCTGGCCTTCAATCTCCCCTTCTGCACAGATGGAGCGACCGGGAGTCAGTCGGGTGCCGGGGACTCTGCATACGGTGAGTCCGCCGTCGCACCGTCCGAGAGGGCTGAGCAGGGGGCCTAGTCCACCCTTTCGAGTGGATCACCAGAGAATGTCCCACCCGCAGGGCCCTCCCCCACACCCAACCAAAGTACAGGCTGCAGTTCTGAACTTCTGGCTTCCGAAGTGGGGGTGTGTGTGTGGGGGGGGACCCTTGAATGGGTGTCAGCGGGGTGGAGGCGACGTGGAGCCTCACTGGCTCTGACCTGGTCTCTGTCACCAGTGCTTCTGGGTCCTGGCCCTCCCCCCGAGACCCCCAGCCCCCCCAGTGATGCCCATCCCTGGCCCCAGTCTTCCACTCTCGGCGCTCACACTCAGGGTAAGGGGGCCGCTGGGGAGGGCACGAGTGAGGCGCGGGGCTGCGATTCCCGAGGAACGCCAGGCGGCTCACTGACCCGTGTGGGGTGCGCACTAACACGCGTGTGTCCGCCGCCGGGACCGCGGCCTTCTGCATGAATGACCACAGCTGGGCAGCGGCTGGTCCAGGCACGGGCGCCCCGTCGGGGCCAGAGCCAGTCGGAGCCGGGTCCGCTGCGCCGCGCCGCGCCGCGCCGGGAGGCTGCGAGGCCCCTCGCCGGGACGGGACGTGGCACCGAGTGGCCGCGCCCCCCGCCCCCCGCTAAGCCCCCTTCTCCTGCAGGCGTGCGCCGGGACGTCCCCGCAGCCCCCGCCGCCAGTGCTGTTCCCGTCCCGCTGCTCCTGGCCTCCGTGGCCGCCGCCTTCGCCCTGGGCGCCTCGGTCTCCGGCCTGCTGGTGTCCTGCGTGTGCCGCCGCACCCACCGACGCCGGAGCAAGGACGTCGAGACCCCCGGCCTGCCGCGCGCCCTGTCCCTCCGCAGCCTGGCGCGCCTGCACGGCCCGGAGCCGCCGCCGCCGCCCAAGGACGCGGACGGCGCGCAGACGCCGCAGCTCTACACCACCTTCCTGCCGCCCCCCGACGCCGCGCCCCCTCCCGAGCTGGCCTGCCTGCCCACGCCCGAGTCCACGCCCGAGCTGCCCGCCAGGCACCTGCAGCCCGCGGGCGGCGCCTGGGAGTGGAACCAGAACGGGAACAACGCCAAGGAGGGCCCGGGCCGCGCGCGGGGCGCGCACGCGGCGGGCGGGCCCGCGCCACGCGTGCTCGTGCGGCCGCCGCCCCCCGGCTGCCCCGGGCAGGCGGTGGAGGTGACCACGCTGGAGGAGCTGCTGCGCTACCTGCACGGCCCGCAGTCCCCGGGCCCCTGCGCGCCCGCGCCCGCGCCCGCCGCGCCCGGCCCCGGCCTCCTCCCGCGCGACCGCGCCCCGCCCGTGCGGCTGGACGTGCCCCCCGACGGCCAGTGCGCGGCCCCCAGCGGCCGCCCGGCGCCCGCGCCCCGGCTGGGGGTCGCGGGGGGCCGCCGGCCGCCCTTCCCCGCGCACCGCACCCCCCCGGCCCTGCTCACGCGTGTCCCCTCGGGGGCGCCCTCCAGGTGCTCGGGGGCCACGGACCGGCCCCTGCTGTACCTGGGCCGGCCCGAGAGCTACCGGGGCCGCGCCCTAAAGCGCGTGGACCTGGAGAAGCCCCCGCTGCCCCCCAAGTCCTCCTTGGGCGGGTCCCCGCCCCAGGCGGCCGTGGCCGGCGGCGGCCACTTGGACTTCTGAAGGACGTGGCCCCGCCGACGCGCGGCCCCCGGCCTCGCCCTCCGCGGGTTAATTTATTGACTGTGCCCCCCAGTCCTCGGGAGAGGAGTGGGGGGCGAGCAGCGCGCCCTCCGCGAGCCAGCTTTCGGGGGTCGGGCACCCTCCTGCCCCCTTCCCCAGCCGAGCTGCCTTATTCGCGCCTCGGGGCCCCGCGGCGAGGGTCCGGCGGGCCGGGGGGCGCACCGCGGGCGGGGTCCCGGCGCCGCCTCCTACCGTGTAGGAGCCCCGCGCCCCGCTCCCGGCGCGGCCGCGTCCCGCAGGGGCTAATCAGAAGCGGCTTCCAGGAGGCGGCGGCGCGGACCGCGGGCGCGGGGCCCCGGGGACAGCGGCGGGGCGGGCCGGGCCGGGCCTCGGGGCGCGAGGGACCCTCCGCGGCGCTTCTCCGGAGCGGGGCGCGAGCGCGTTTGGGGAGGAATAAATTGAAGCCGCGGTGGAAGCCACTGAATGTTCGGGAAAATTCGTCGGAGGAGCACCTGGCGGGGAGTCAGGGTCGCGCCCGCTCGGCTGCGATGAGCCCACCGGGGGCTGGCGAGCACCTGGGAGCATCCGCGCTCCGAGGACCGTCCGGCGCCGCGCCCGGCGCGCGCTGCGAGTCTCCAACCTCGGGGGAGCCCCGGGCCGCGCTCCGGCCCCGCGTGCAGGGGCTCGGCCGGCCGGACGCCGTCGGGACTCTCCCTTTGCCCCGGTTGGTGCAGACGTCCGTCCGTCACGCCGGGACCCAGTGGGAGGGACGCTAGGCCCCTGCGCCCAGCCCCCTGCCCTTGAGCGAAGGACACTTAAGACCTCCGCGCGGCGGCGATTGCTTTTGCAGATTCAGGAGTCAAGTTTAGTGACGGCACGTGGCCCGCAGTGTCCACCCCGCTAGGGCCCGAGGCTGCGTGGCCTCTGTTGCCGCCTGGAGGCCAAGCCTCGCCTTGCCTCTGGGCATTCGCCTCCCAGACCCTGGCGTTGCAGAACCCCGGCCTTTCTTCGTGCCTGTGATCTGGACTTTTCGGAGCGCTGCCCTAAGCGTTTGTTTCCTCCTCTAAAGATTTTTTTAGAATGGCTTGTTTGAGGGCCCTAAGTGCAATAATTATCCAATAATAACGTTCCATGGGCCAGGGGGGTAGCAGCAAAGGCTGAGAACCTGCTTCGGTGCTACAGGCCCCGTCTCACCCTGGCACCGCGTGATGCCCGGACAGCGCAGACACTGATCCCAAGCTGAGAGCAGCTCTTAAGCACTACTTCACCATGCCCCGTGTGCTTCAAAAGGGAAAGAAAGCAGCATGGAGCCCCGAGATGGGTCCCCCCAAACTCAGAATCCTTACTTTGCAGTATGTGCTTTGAAATCGAGGCCACTTCTGCCAGGGCACCCGGGCCACACATGGTGGTGCTAAGAGGCTGGCAGGCATGCAGTGCCAGGGAAGGAATCAGGCATGCGAGGCATGGACACGGGCACCTCGGCCCATACCTTTGTCGTCACCTGCTTGAAGCAGTCGCTTACCCTTTCCCTTCCTGCGGTTTTTCACAGGCGGGGGATTCTCCTGCTCTCTTGTCGAGGTTGCTCCTGGCAGTGCCAGGATCCAGCCAGGGTCAGAAAACATGACTCCTGCACTAGCTCACTGGCTGCTCAGCTTGGAGGTTTTTATTATTACTTTTGTTGTTGTTGTCGTTTGGGGGGGGGGGCACACCCAGAAGTGTTCAGGGCTTTCTCCTGGCTCTGCACTCAGGGATCACTCCTGGAAGGGACCGGGGGAGGGACCATATGGGATGCTGGGATCAAGTCTGGGCTGGTTGTGAGCAAGACAAATCCCTGACCCTCTTACTACTGCTCCAGCCCTTCAACTTGAAGACTTTTCAGTGCCCTCTGAACTTTCCTCACACTGGCTCTCCTCCCGTCATGCTCTTCCCCCTGCAGACGGGGTTTCATCAGGCTGGAGCGGCCCTTCCAGGTCTCTTGATTTTTTCCCTTTGTTGCGAAAGTATTATAAATCAGATGGAGCTGGAGTAATATTGCAATGGGCAGGGTGCTTGTGTTGCACATGGCCGATCTGGGGTTGATCCCCAACACTGCCTGTGGTCCCCAGAACCCTGCTAGGACTGACCCCAAAGCACAGAGCTGGGGGTAACCCCTGATCACCACTGGGTGTGGTCCAAAAACAAAAAGCCCCCCAAAAAAGTAGTTAAGGAGATTTCTCTTGCCTCTTAACAGGTCTCAGCTATACTCGGAGCCTTCCCAGGGCAGTCAAAGCAGCTGTATTGGCCTGCAAACTATAGGTCCAAGGTTCTGGGGTTCAGTAATCCCAGCAACCTTGCTAACCTCTCCGAGCCTTAGTTTTTCATACAGGATAAAAAGGACATTTGCCAAGAGGGTTTATAAAGCATCATATAAATAGCATAAACAGGCTACAACTGGTTTGTACTATTTATACACAGGGCTAGAGCAACAGTACCGTGGATAGGGCTCTTGCCTTGTATACAGCCAACCTGGGTTCAATCCCTGGCATCCCGTATGGTCTCCAGAGCCAGCCAGGAATGGTGCCTGAGTGCAGAGCCGGGAACAACACCCGTGGCCCCCAAACAAACAAAAGCATAGTATAAACAATTATTTGTCCAGATAGAGTACTACCAAGTAAGTAATTCATGAAAACTCATAAAATTCATTCTGATAGGGTAAAAAAATAATACACCAAGAGGGTGAATTAAAGTTATCACTGGCTGTTAAGAGATGGATAAATATGATCTCAGTTAAGGAGCCTGCTAATAGTCTTTTTTTTAAAAAAAAAAATGTTATATTTATTTCACTTTTTGGATCACACCCAGTGATGCTCAGGGGTTACTCCTGGCTCTGCACTCAGGAATTACTCCTGGCAGTGCTCAGGGGACCATATGGGATGCTGGGGATTGAACCCGGGTCGGCCGTGTGCAAGGCAAACGCCCTGCTTGCTGTGCTATCACTGCAGCCCCTCTTTTTCTTTTTTTAAACGAGGATGTTAACTCAAACTTTGTCTTCAGAAAAAAGCAGAAGGTGCCAACAGGAGATATAGTTGGCATCCTGAGGGATTTCTAAGCTGATTTCTCTGAGGCACCCTGGGAGGTTCTGCCGGAGCCAGAGCCCAGTGGGCATAGTGCATCAGCTCGTGCAAGGCTTTGGGGACCTGAGAAACAGAAGGTGCCACAGTCACAAACTGGAAAAGCTGTTCAGCATCTTGGATTTTCTGGGAGCAAAGTCACAAGGGCCTGAGCTATTCTTAGCTTTCAGATTTGTCTCCTTGATGCCACTTCCCTACTCGTGGAACCCCAAAGTGCTGACACTCTGCTATGCAACTCTTCTTGCTTAGAGTATCGTTGGTCAGCAACTTTTGAAGATGTCTCTTCAATTAATTTTGGAGCAAAATTTACTTTGAAATTTGTGGAAAACATTGCTTGGAGGAGTAATTTTCCCATCTGTCGTCTTCCCTTTTTTTTTTTTTTTTACTTTGATGCTTTATTTGGTCCTATTAAAGCCAGGTACCAGCATTATCACCCCTCAAAGTGCTAGAGGGTTGTAGCCCATAAAGCAACTGGCTCAAGACGTATCTCGTCGTCTTCCCCTTTCACACCTAATCCAGTGGGAGTGGCGGAGATAGCACAGCAGGGAGGGTGTTTGCCTTGCACGTGGCCGACCCGGGTTCAACCCCTGGCATCCCATATGGTTCCCCAAGCAACTGCACTCAGGAGTAATTCCTGAGTGCAGAGCCAGGAAAATAACACTTGAGCATTGCTGGGTGTGACCCAAAAAGCAAGGGAAAAAAAATCCAATGGCAGCTTTACTGACACAAGACCTTAAAAGGTGGGGCTGGAGCAACAGTACATCGGGGAGGGCATTTGCCCTGCAAGCAGCCAACCTGGGTTCGATCCCCAGCATCCCTGATAATGCTGGTACCTGGCTTTAATAGAACCAAATAAAGCATCAAAGTAAAAAAAAAAAAAAAAAAAAGGAAGACGACATATAGGAAAATTACTCCTCCAAGCAATTGTTTTCCACAAATTTCAAAGTAAATTTTGCTCCTAATTGAAGAGACATCTTCAAAAGTTGCTGACCAACAATACTCTAAGCAAGAAGAGTTGGTTCCCAGCACCACCAGGAGTAATTCCCGAGTGCAGAGCCAGGAGTAACTCTTGAGCATTGCTGTTGGAAAAAAAAATTTAAGGGCCTTAAAAGGAACAGCTCCAGTGACAAATTTCCATATTCAGATTTAGTATCAGATACTGCCAGAAAACCTGGGAGCAACCTGTAGGAAAAATGTGAAAAGCTGATGAACAGTAGGTCCAGTGCTCAGTCTACGTGGACCATGATGCTAACACCCAACTCAAGGGCCAAGGCTTCTGGCCCAGGACTTGAAGCTTTTTTTTTTTTTTTTGCCACACCTAGCAGTATTCAGGGCTTCTTCCTGCCTCTGCACTCAGGAATCATTCTTGGAAGGGCTTGGGGGACCCTGTGGAGTGCCAGGGAAGGAATCTCGGTTGGCCGTGTACAGGCCAAGCACCCTCTTCGCTGTACTACTGCTCCGGCTTCCAAGGCCCTGAGGTTGGCCAGTGACCTGCACCTGTTCCCGCATGCAGCTGGAGATTCCACGGCCACCGTCAGCCACAGTCCTTGGAAACACCTCACCCAAGATCCTTAACTGCAATTTAAAATGAACTAAGCCATTAAAAAATATCTGGGGATTGGGAAGAGGGATGGACACCCAGAGGTGCCCAGAGGTATTCTTGGCTCTGTGCTTAGGAGTGACCCCCTCAGATGTGAATGCTGGCGGAGCTTGGGGAACCATTTGTGGTGCTGAGGGTCACACCTCAAACCAGGGTCAGCTGCAAGTAAGGCAAGTGACCTTCCTTTTATACCTTTTATACGGTGGCCCCCAAGCCAAACTGAACAGGTAGTATTTTGCTAAGGAACGAACTATGAGACACAAGAGCACGACTGGGGATCCTGGCCTCAATTCCCAGCAGTGTG